TGATCCGTACGGGTCGAACCAATTACCTTTTCACAAAATTCCTGATGAATTTTTTTCCACATATGACAGAATTTGATCTCATTACCCGTTACGGGACAATGACTAACTTAGAGCCAAGCCTCACACAAGCTAATATCTTCCGCCATGCTCCATGCCCCTCCTCCGGTTTCACTAGAATAACCCATAATATGATAGAGAAAAAAACAACTTGAAAGAGAGAAAAAAAAAACAACTTGAAAGTGAAAAAAATTTGACTAGAAAGTGAAAAATAGTAGAATGAGAAGAAAATGTATGAGGAGTTGGTGTTAAAAGTGAAGAGTATTGGTTGGTATTTGTAGAAAAAAAATATTCAGTATTTTTTTCGTATTTTTTTTCGATTTTTTTTCATTTTTTTATTGGGCAAAAAATTGCCTGCCGTTGGATTGCTGGAAAAAACTGATCGGAGAGCCCAGGAGCTTCCACGTGGCATAGAGCCGTTGAGGGTTGCTTTTTCGATTTTTTTATTTGCGAAAAAATGGCTGCCGTTGGATATGTTGAAAATACAGATCTGATGGCCCAGCAGCAGACACGTGGAATCATGTCGTTGGGCGGTTACTGTAGCACACGTCAAATTTTTTTTAAACTGGGCGCGTGCATTGCACGCGCCAGCTTTAAAAAAATTTAAACAGCAGCGCTGACATCATCACAGCCTGCGGGCTGGCGCTCGGGCCAGCCCAGGTTTGTGGGCCCCACTGCTTGCCCTGGCAACTTCTTGTTGCTGGAAACCACATTTTGGGTTTGCCCCCCCAACCCTCCCCTTGGGCCCCTTGTTGCCAATGCTATACCTTGAATTTAATAGTAAAATTGACAGACTTCGATGGTAGGACCATTTTGATACTAAATAGATAGTTGGAGGACTATTGAAATGAAAATTTTAGTTGATTGACCAAAATGAAACTGGAGCAAAAGTTGGGAGACCATTTTGGTCGATAACCATTTTCTTCTAGTATTTGTATTTTGGCTAAATTAGTGATGCGCCCTTGTGTTTTACTGAAAATTTCACTTTACCCTTCACATTTTTAAACTGAGTTAATATGCTCTATGTGCTTTATTTTTGTATCTCCATTCCCCAATTCCGTCAATTTGATTAGTAAAACTGTTAACTTGATAACGAAATGAGGCAACGAATGACACGAAAATAAAGCAACTACATATAAGTGTCCTACAAATAGTTATATTGTTTTAATTTGATCTCTCAGCAACCTATTACTCTTCTTGCAAGTCTTGCCTTTTCTTCTTTTGAATATTTGATTTCTTGACCGAGAGCCTGAGATTCTCTAAATAGTCGTACCTTGCTGTGTCGGTGGCTTACCCAAAAACGGAAGAAAAAAAATAAAGAATTCCCAGTGACGACGAGTGTAGACTGAAGTATATAGTACAAGTGGCAAAGTAGAGAGCACAGACACAGCTCAGTATTGAATTGAGCTCTCTGAGTTTTTAGAACACACATTGATCAAACTCTTCAATTCAAACCCATCAATCATCACAAACCTAAAGCCGAGGGATTTGAAACCCTTTTCTAGTTTGATTTTGATTTTAAAGCAGAGCAGTTTTGGATCCAAATGTTGGTCCAAGACCGCTCTACTCCAAAACCCTCCAAACCCGAGCAACCCTTTCTCACAGCAAGTCACTTCCCTCAGTCCAAAATCTTCACTTTCCCCAAATGGGTCTCCTTTAATCTGTTCAAGATCACAACCATTTCATTCCTAACCCTCACCATTGCTGCCCTCTTCTTCCTCTACCATGCCAATGACTCTCCCTCCACCTTCCTCTGTTTCAACAAATCCCACCTCAAGATCCCCAAACCCATTGAATTCCCCAAACTTAGCTTCAAGTCAATCAAACCCATTTCAGATAAGTCCTCCAATTACGCTTCTTTCGGATCAGATAGATGGGTTGTGGTCTCTGTTTCGGATTATCCTTCTGATTCACTTCGAAAACTGGTCAAACTCAAGGGCTGGCAAGTCCTTGCAATTGGGAATTCAAGGACCCCAGTGGATTGGAGTCTCAAGGGAGTGATATATTTGTCAATGGATGACCAGGCCAAATTGGATTTTCGAGTTTTGGACCACCTTCCTTATGATTCTTATGTAAGGAAGACTGTTGGGTACCTTTTCGCTATCCAACACGGTGCGAAAATGATATATGACGCTGATGATCGTGGCGATGTGATTGATGGTGATCTTGGTGAGCACTTTGATCTGAAATTGTCAAATGTGGATGTAATGCAGGAGAAACTTTTGCAGTATAGTAATGAAAATCCGAATAGAACAGTTGTGAATCCATACATTCATTTCGGGCAACGGTCAATTTGGCCTAGGGGATTGCCTTTAGAAAATGTAGGTGAAGTTGGGCATGAGGATTTCTATAGTGAAGTATTTGGAGGATTGCAGTACATTCAACAAGGTATATCTAATGGCTTACCAGATGTTGATTCAGTTTTCTACTTCACAAGGAGGTCAGGTTTGGAAGCATTTGACATAAGGTTTGATGAGCATGCTCCAAAAGTTGCTTTACCACAAGGTATGATGGTGCCACTGAATTCTATTAATACATTGTTTCATTCTAATGCATTTTGGTCTTTGATGCTTCCTGTTTCGGTTAGTACAATGGCTTCTGATGTATTGAGGGGTTATTGGGCACAAAGACTTTTGTGGGAGATTGGTGGTTATGTTGTTGTTTATCCTCCAACTATCTATAGATATGATAACATTGAGTCATACCCATTTACGGAAGAGAAGGATCTTCACATAAATGTGGGGCGATTAATTAAGTTCTTGGTTACTTGGAGATCTACTAAGATTAATTTATTTGAGAAAATTTTGGAATTGAGTTATTTGATGGCGAAAGAAGGGTTTTGGACCGAGAAGGAGGTGAAGTTCACTGCAGCTTGGCTTCAAGACCTGGTTGCTGTCGGGTATATTCAGCCAAAGCAGAAGGCCATAAAGTTGGATCAGCCGAGAACAGCCATTGGTCTTGCAGACCGGAAGGAATTTATTCCCCAAAAACTACCTTCTGTGCATCTTGGGGTTAAGGAATCAGAGACAGTAAATTATGAGATAGGGAATTTGATTCGCTGGAGGAAGTTTTTTGGCAATGTTGTTTTGATCATGTTTGTCGGTGGGCCAGTGGAGCGGACTGTATTGGAGTGGAAATTGCTTTATGGCAGGGTATTTAAAAGTGTGGTGATTTTGTCGGACGGTGCTAAAACAGATTTAGCTGTGGAGCAAGCTACCCTGGACCAAGTATATAAGTAAGTTGTTGATAATGTCTGTGGTTTCTTTGTTGTCAATGCCAACTTTCTCACATTCATGGGTTTTTCTTTTGGCAAGACCAGATTGCGTTGGTTTTTTTCTTTGCGTGTGCGTACGGATATCTGTGTCTTTGTTAGATCTGATGATGCATGTTGGATTTTGGGCTGTCTTCTGCTAAGATTTTATCTGATTGGCCCTCCATGTTATCTTGTTTCTTCTGGTTCATTCAATCTAATCTGCATCCGAACATCCAATTGATATAGGACTACAGCTTTTTAGTTAGTTTAGGAATCAACATTATACTTGATATCTTTTTCTTTTTTTTAAAAAAAAAAACAATATACTTGATAAGAATTGAGGAAAAGAAACCTATTCAAATTCTTAGAATAGTCAGTCTCTTTTTAATCATTGACTTGGAAATGACTCAAAGTCAAAGTTACATCCTATGCACCAACTTATTCAGGTTGTAATTATAGGTGATCTTCTAATATGGTGAATTGTTAGCAATTTGAATACAGCCTTTACTTTAATTTTCATCATTTTTAATGTGTATTATGCTGTCCTTACAATTCTCAAATGACATGCAGGTATCTCCCCAAAATATTTGATAGGTTTACCAGTGCGGAAGGGTTCTTGTTCCTGCAGGACAATACCATTCTCAACTACTGGAATTTACTGCAAGCAGACAAGACTAAGCTGTGGATCACTGACAAGGTAATGCAAATTCCCAAGTACAACACCCTGTATTTTAGACAAACACCGACTGATTCGTTCATTCCCTATCTCTTCCAGGTTCCTCAGTCTTGGGGTACAGCCTCTATCTATGGTAAAGACTCCGAATGGTTTTCAAAACAAGCAGACATGGTAAAGAAAGTTGTCAGCACTATGCCAGTTCATTTACAGGTCAGTTACAAGGAGAGTAGCACAAGGGAGCAGGGTCTCAGTATATGCAGCTCTGAGGTATTCTATATTCCTCGACAATTTGTTGGGGACTTTGTAGATCTTGTAGGACTAGTGGGAAAATTTGAAATCCATAATAAGGTAGCAGTTCCCCTGTTTTTCATGGCAATGGATTTACCTCATAAATATGACTCTGTGCTCAATACAATGATTTATAAGCCAGAGACATCATCCAGCAACTCTTCAAACATTTATTCTGCTAAAGCCCCAGCCGAACACCCATGGACCATTTCCAGTGAGTCAGATTTCATCGAACTTATAAGATTCATGGCAACAGGTGACCCTCTACTAATGGAGCTATTTTGAAGTACAGAAAAGTTAAACTTTGTACCATTCCCATTATATACGAGGCATCTCCAAAGAGATTGACACTTGAAGGGTAGAAAAATACTTAATACTTTAGTGAACTTGGGTATTTACTTTTCGTCTTTATATGTTGTGGAAATTTTGAGGTAAGGGGAAAGGATGTCATGCAGTTTGTTCAGGTAGGTTTCGCTGCTTTTACTTTTCTATTCTGTACAGAATTTTCTTTCATCTGTATGATTCAGTTATTGTATTTGAGCTGTGGATGTATCAAATGAGAAGCATTTATTAGAAGAATGATTCCTCTACTGCTTCATAGTTTTCGGACAAGTAGCGTTTTTATAGTGAAAATTTTCAGTGTCTGTACTCTCCAGTTTATAACACATGATTGTCGCCTAGAGATTTTGAGATACGTGAAGAGTCATCCCTAGATTATGTAAAGATTCAACAAAACAAAGGGTAAGTCCTGAACACTGTTGGAAACGTGAAATAAGCATTTAGGAATTGAGATATGATGAAGGGGACCAAGTATAGAAAGGGAAACCCCTCTCTCGTAATCAATTCATTTTGGGTGATTCTATGAACATCAATGGACATTCTTGGTTATCCGTAAGCAATTCTTGGGTGTCCAGAAAAAAGTTATTGGGTATCCATAGAATCACCTGTCATTTTCTCATGATCCAATAATTGTTCAATTGTCGAGTTCGGGAGAAAGAATCGCTTTCATTCAGTAAATTTTTTTTTACAAAAACATGAGAATGCTTCCTTCGTGGGCAAGCACTTAACCCCAAACAGCACTTTTTACATTTCAACCAGCTTTTGGACTGTAAAAATCACTCTCAAACACAGCCTTAATTGCTAATAGCTAGCTGCTAATATTAAGGTTTTTCTTCCAGATTTTCCAGTGATGATTGATGTAAGTGGTTTGATATATTTGCCTCAAACTTTTGCGAATCAAAGCTAGCATTCTTCGTCTAATTTCCACTGTCAATATCGTTAAATGGTTGCATAACCTCTATTACATCAATGCTCGAGATAAACAATGACCCTAGTTTATTATTGATGTCTACCAAAAAAAAAAAAGAAGTTTATTACTGATGCAGCATGCAAAGGGAAGGGCTCTTCGAGTAAAGAATACATCTGGGACGGGTTTGGCTACTTTACAACATAACTCCTTCCCTGTCTCATAATAAAACCCCATTTTCCTCAACTGAAATATTTCTTATACAAAGCTCTAGAAATGGCAAGAGCATCTCCTTTTGCTTTCACTGGGTAAAGCTCGGTACCTGCTTGCCAACCGTTTGACAATGATATCCATTCTTTTCTCCATTCCTCCACCTCAAAGTCCTTATTGACCCTCAAGCTTTTTGACAAATAACTAAAATAGGTTGAAGCTCGTGGTAGATAGTAGCTTCCCAATAGCCCACTCCAGAACTTATTTGCTGATGACAAGGAAAATTTCTTTGTTACATATGTGTGTGTGTGTGTGTGTGTGTGTGTGTGTGTGTGTGTGTGTGTGAGAGAGAGAGAGAGAGAGAGAGAGAGAGAGAGAGGGGAAAAGAAAAATGTGACAAAGTTTCAAGTTACATCATGTGACATTGAAATTAAGAGTACCATAATCATGAAGCTTGCTCTGGTTGGTTTTTGTGTTGTCAAACCACATCGTCACCTGTGTTCTTGCATTCCACTCATACTGAAAAATAGAAAAAGAATTTTCATCAGTAATTTTTATATTACTTTATGTCTACATGCTTTCCTAATGCGCAACTTGGGCTGAATTCTTGATGTACAAACCAAGCAGAAAAGACAAGGTGACCCTTCCCCCTTGGTCATACAGAAGGCATAAGCCTAAAATAGATTTATTCAAAGTGGGAAAAGGAAAATGTGTAGCTTAGCAGACCTCAAAATACTTGAATGTGTTGTTGCACCATGCTGATAAGTCTAAATTAATTGCAGATGGAGCAATATTACCCTCAAGAAAACTCTCATAAGCAAAAAGCAATAGGCCAGAGAGGGGCAAGTTTGTTCTCACCTGCCTCCTTTCCGTAGGATTAGCTGCCAGCTTTTTTGCACTTTCGAGCCAGGTTCCAAGTAAAAAGTTATCATCCGAAGCAAGAAGTACATCAATATCCTTTATGAGTTGAACAAAATTTCGACTATGGAGACTATACGCTTTCACATCCCTCCCCTGGTAAGCTGTCACAGCATCCACATATACTTGGTTCGCTAGCTTGGACAGTACTTGCCGTGTTAAATCAACCAAGTCATATCTGTCGCAGTGCTAAGAATAGTTAGGAATGATCCAATGCTTTATTTATTTTGGAAAAATCCTACCATGAACATGATATGTTATATTTGTCAAATGTCTTATTCAGCTAAGTTCCTTTGCCAAAAAGATTAGTTGATAAAGAAATTGTATTTAACAAGCTCTGGAAGGAAAGTGAAATTAAATTGGTTACAATTTAGCATGCATGCTATGAAGTTAGGGAGAACAAAATAAAAACAAATATTTCGACCAGGGAACAAAGGATTCATTCAAAAGAATTAGAGTTATCATGTGATTCATACAGGAAATAAGAGCAGTAGATGGAAAGAAAGCATATCACAACATAACTATTAGGTTTGCCTTTACCTATATGTTAGGCTTCCAGAAAGATCATTACCACCATCGAGGAATAGTCGTAAAGCATTGACCACCTCTTGTGTAGAATACCACAAATGTGCCTGAGGCAAATGAGCGCTGGTTTCTTGGAGTAAAACTCTTCTCTTTCTATCGAGCGCTAAGAGCATTTGCATCTGGTTTTGTTTGGTAATGTTAGATATGGGATTTGACGATGGATCCCAGTCAGGAAATTTGACTATGAAATCTGTGTTATGGTCCTGCGACAAGTTAAAAGTCCATATCATTCATAGTACTTTTGCTCTCGAGCAACAACCATAACCTGACGGCATCACCTATATGCAACATAAAACTAATATGAAAAAGGAAGAATCTCTATCATCAATCCCAAGTTCAAACACATCAGTCATTTAAAACTTTATATAAAACAGTGAAAGATAACATGGGGACAAAATAGCGTCTATCCAATAACTATATCATAAACCCCCTCTCTCGAGCAACAACCTGAGGTAACATAAAACTGATATGAAAAGGGAAGACTCTCTATCATTTAAACACATCAGTATTTAAAACTTTATGTAAAACAGTGAAGGATAACATGGGGACAAAATAGCCTCTCCAATAACTAATAAATGGATAAAAGCATGGCTCCCCCGCTCACCCCCCTTCTCAGTCTGTGTGATGCCATAAAAGTATCAGAATACTTGAGATAACCATTCCCAAAGGGCAGCATAATGATGCATCCCTTTCATAGTTTGACCTGTGTTCCAAGATTATGTTCCTAAGGAAATAAAAGTCATATAGGCACGGGATCAATTTTATCGAAAAACTCACAGCAATTCCATCTGTACAATTGTAAATTGTGTGGTGAAGAATTTCCCAAGCTGCCTCAACTTGATGAACTGTTTTACCATAGCGTCTAAGGGAATAGGTTTTTAGCCAGTCCTGCAAAGACAAAAGAGTTGATTGCATGTGTACAGAAAATAATTTCAGCAATCATCAACCAGCATAAGGCTGTTTACTCATTCTAATTACATCATGCACTTGCAGCATGCTGATTGTAGGTGAACATGAGTTGTTACCGTGTACACCTACGTCTGGGACTCCAGGTTGTAGTTGCAAATAGCCAATGTGAAACTACTTTATTCTAACTAGCATAGAAAAACTAATATTTAGATTTACCCAATTAAAAGAGGAACTAAAAGCATCCAAAACCAATCGATTTATTGCATAGCATTTAAAAACTCATAATTACCTGAACTTGAACCTTTTCACTGCGAAATGCCATTTCAGACGTCAATTCGTAAATAACTGGATTGTGCTCAATTCCTTCCATGCACATGCCAACACCAACCTATTATAATATCGACAAGTTACTTGAGTGTGCCTCAAAATAAGTAATTTTCTATAAGATAAAAATATCAAATATGGTTCTCATTCCCCGTCTTATTTTATAAAAATAAAAATAAAACTAAAACATTGGTCAGAGAGTATTATTTATGGAGCGTGGATAGCAAGATACTGGCACTTTGAACTATAATTTTAAAAGAGAAGTCCTTCACGGTAATAGGACATGTGTACAAGGTATCTGGCATACCATAGTAGAATTTTCACTAGTTCGGGCATCAACTGGACCTGAAGAAACCGCATCCAATATGCCATACATTTCAATGTTTCCACCAAAATTGTGCAAGAGACACCTAATGTACATTAGTAGTTGAGCAAGTAAGAAACATTTTGACTACAGGTGTTGAAACATAAAGTAAAAGCGGATACCAACAAATGAGTTAAGAGAAATGCATCTTGAGGATTAAACATCTCAATCAAGATGTAAATAACAGTTGACAAATTGAAGAGCCAATTACCAAATATAAGGAGTTCCGTAAAACTGAGATGATGTTCTCCATATTGGTTTCACATCCGCAAATAGATCGAGAACTATCATTTTTCCAAACGGCACAGAATGTAGAAGAGCCTGCATTGTTCTTAAGTTGTTAAAGAACAATGGGAATAAACAATGGGGATTTTTGTGTGTATATAGTATGATAAAATCTGTATCTTTATTTACAATCTAAATGCCTACTTTCATTTGAGGTGGTTTCCAAAAAGAGGAGTCCGAATAGAAGAGCCAACCCTACAAAATGGCATAACTGTCAACTTTGAATAATTTTATCCATAACTGAGTAAAATTGCTCATATACAAAGTTCACAAACTCAATACACAGCGAACTGAGAAATGTCAAGGTCTGTAACTAATAAATTGGTCATGTTAGAAAAATATATATACATATATATGCATATATGCGTATGTTAACAAATGGAGATAGTGCAGCTTGCAATTGAATTACAGCTGTGGCTAGTAAATCCTAGAGGGGAATCAAAATTTTCAATAAACACTGTGTAGGAAATTGACAGGAAAATTTATCAACATGACGAATACCAGTTGTTGCCAAATTCATACATCATTGAAATCATTCAGGTCTTTCCGTTCAATATAGGGTTATTAAGTATTAATTAAGTAATGAGTGGATAAGATAGAAACTATTAAATTCATTTTAAGTAGGCTGGAAGCGGGAGGAGTGGTTTGAAGTTAGGAACATACTTGCATTAACCACACAGCATCCTTATCACCTTTGGACATTGCTTTATACACAGCAGCTCCAAGTGATGAGATATACGCTGGATCATTTGTAGGTGGAGAATTTTCATTGAAGGTATCACTGCATTAAGCATAGTATAATGTACATACTTAGTATGCAAGATTTGAACAAACTAATAATATGCAAGGAAGACTTGCACTTGTTTGGAAAGATAAATGTAAAAGAAGAGCTCTGTTTCAACTGGTTATAAAGATTAAAAAAGAAACAAACGGCCTGCTTAACACAGGATTGAAATTGCAGAACAGTTAGGCAATGTGGTTCAGAAAGCTCAAGGGATATGGCCTAGGCTTGAAGCTAGAACTTGCCCCTGAAAAGCAGATGCATTACCCTTTACCATGAAGCTGTGCCCAAAGGGGCATTACTAAGAAAAATATAATTCATTGAAAACTACCAACAGCACTTAAATGAATAAATATTAAATGCAAAAAGGTAAAGTAGTTTGAGTTGGAAAATAAGATGTTTTAATATAGCATACTCCAAGATAAATAAATAATTAAAAAAAGAGAGAAATTACCAGTTATAGATGTCTGTCACATCCCCATATTCTGTAAAAGATAAATATGAAATGTAAACCACGAAAAATTATAATTATGACCAGGCATTAATCCGATATACTAAAAGCAATGTGCCTTACTTTCACACAAACATAAAATAAAACAAGAAACTGGAGACATCATGTTTAGGTCACGTCTGTCAAGTCCTGCGTGGGCAACTATCTATGTATGCACAAATGAACTTTAACATTATAATTTTGATCAAGCATATATATAAAAAAGTTCTTTATCTGAAAGGTTGATTGGAAATTGTATATTAATAACTCTGAAATTCTAAAAGAAAATCCAAGTTTCTCGAATCCTGGATGCCAATAGAGTGCTAAAAATAGAAAACGCAAGATGTGAGTTTTCTGCTTTTTGGAAGTTGAACAGTTTGCCTTTTAGTGACAATCTACTGAGTCACCAGAGATGTACAAGTTGAAAAGAAAAGAAAATACAAGGATACACCTGCCCTCCCTTTTTGTTAAGCTAAATACATAAGATTAGGTTTTTGTTTTCCAGTGTGATAGCTGGGCTGGGGCGAAAAGGCAATAATGCCCCTCCACGCACACAGCAAACTAATGGAAATAATTAATTGGACTTGATTGCTGACGACTTCAAGTGCGATGACGAAATTGAGAAAATTGAAATCACGGTGACCAAAATTGTTTTCGGGCCTAAACCTAGTGACCAAAAATGTTTTTTGCCCTATATTCTATGGCAATATGCAACCGCATGTATACACACTTACACTAACAAGTTTACATAATGTCCATATGTAAGCTGAACATGCATGAACAAGGTTACGTGGAGATCAGATACATGTGTTTTTGCCGATTTTAGTAAACATTTTGATATAGTTCTTTCCTGCTATGAGCAGTCCTGCATAACAAGTTAAATATTTAAAAGATGCTACAGAAAATGATACAATCTTGGTTGATAATCTAATGGTAAAAAATTGTAGCAATTTTTTAATTTATAGCTAATGGACATGAAGCACACCTTCAACTTGTTGCCTAATAAAAGCCGTCCCAATTTCAACAAATAAAGTATCAGAAGGATCAAGAAGGTATGTACAGCACCAACGAGGATCACCGTTAACAGTGTTCCTAATCATAACAAAAAAAATGGAAAACCTCAACAGAAACATATAGCATATCTTCTTCCAAAATATAGTACATCAAGAAAGGGAAGTTTTTCCAACTTCAAACATGGAAGTCAAAATGAGGGTTTTGTATGAAATGCAGATCCTGATGTTAGTTGTTCCAACCATGTCATGTCATGTGATTCGAAGTAATTGTAGGAATTCAGAGACCTTCAAGTCACACAAAGCTATGCAATATGGGGCCTATATAAAGTGACATCATGATAGCACTTGTGTAAAGTAAAACATCGCATACCAGTCTCCAAGTCTGGTTATATTTGCTGAAGGATATATCTTCTTCAAAGCTGCTGGAACATTTCCAGAGAAAGATGGTAACACTGGAGCAAAGAAGAGATTACCCATGAGTAGCCATATTATCTAAATGACATTGTGGTCTGTGTCTACATAGACCTCTTTAAACACAATACTTGTTTAAAAGAGACATGGAAAATAGTGTGGCACTGGTGTTGAGAGCATCAATTGAAAAAAATTATCTTTGAGGGTAATTTCCTATTTTCCCATAGAGAACTTTCATCACCTGGAGTCATGCCTAGCTCTAGCATCCTAGTTAGTATCTGTTTCTGCAAAACCAATTGTTGATCTAACCAATTCTGTGATAAAGGCCCGCCCCACCTGTGATAAGAATACTGTCAGCTTCTTTTAACCAAGAACACACAACGAGGTGCACAAGCAACATCCACACGATGAGTAATAGAATCTTATATATATGACAGATTTTAATATCAGCTCCACTTACGCATGTAAATTTCCCATGCGAGCCCATGCAAGGAAGGCAGGTCCACCAAAGAAATCATTCAAATCTTCCTTACTAATATTGAAATCCTACAACAAGAATATTCTAGTCAAAGATATTTAAGCCTAATGACAAGAATGATGAGCCGACAAAATTGTGTTTATGTACTTGGAAAGCATATGTGCATTGTTTAGACAAGGCAAAAACTTTAACAGAAGATAAAATTAATTCTGAGATCACACAAATATCATCTGCCACTATAGAACATCTGTCATTATAGAGTTAGAAAACTCTGTTTCAGCTACAGAAGCATCTGTCAGATAGGAAATTATATTATAAACATCCAAGGGCTTATACAAGGCTATGTTCAGAAACTTAGAACCAGAAATGCTTGTTAGTTTTGGGAGTTCACTTCTGTTTTGTATTCTAGCTGTGTTGCAAAAACATTATGAGCACAGAACAAAACGAATATATGTGCAATACATTGTAGCTTAACAGACAAACATAAGCTTTCATGTCTCTTGGGTTGAACATTCAAGGTTTTATGTTACATTTTTTTTATAAATAGAAGCCATGTGCTAATTAAGAAACTCGTGTTCCCATAATCAAGTTATAAAACTCGTTAAAAGTAGCAACATGATGCAAGATATAAAATGTAGAGGCCTAGAATTTGATGAACGCCTTTATATATGTAAGATCAATTATCATTTACCATGAAAACTTTCTGCCAAATTGATTCTTGCCCTGTGAATGCTAAAGGCAGGTTAATCCCCTGAAGAGCCATCCAGTCTATTTCTTTCTGCCATCTTTCCCAATCCCACCAAACAAAGGAATCTGCAAAAATGTGCAATATCACATAAGGCTATTGATTTTCCAATGCCAAGAACATATCACCTATTTTAGAGTATTAAATTTGAAGTTAATTTTTAATGCAAATTAAGTAGACTTTCTTAGTTTCTTAATTCACTTTTCATCACCTTTTTTTTTTTTTTTTTTTGGTTTTATTCTCAAACTCAGTGAGGCTTGAGCCATGAAAACAACCTCTCTGGAAGCAAGGGTATGGCTGCATATGTCTTGCCTGCCTAGACTCTGCATTAGCAGGAGCCTCGTGCATCAGCTTTTTTTTTTTTTACTCTAAATGACCCAAAACCACAGTACAACAATATATAGACAATCTGATTGAAGTGAAAAAAAGATACAAAGAGTCATTACTCACAGCTGGATGTGACAACGTTTTGGTAATAGTTCCATGGGATTGGTCGTTGAATTTTCAATCCCTCGTCTCTTACACGAGGCAGTGATCCTGGTTTCGGTATGGAAACTACCTGAACACCGCCAGTCTTGTCCCAAGAAACATGAGCACCACACCAATACTTTAAATACCAATGAAGGCCAGACGCAATTTCAACTGCTGTGGTCCCTTTAATCCTAGAAGTGAACCAAACATTTCATAAAAGTTACAATTTACAATAGAATCACGTTCTCTTTTTTTATCTTTCTGTTCTCTTTTATCTTCCTTGATATCTTAAAGTCTTTGAGTTTTAGGCTATCTAGCTCTTGAAATCAATTTATCCTTGTACACTTAATAGGAGATAAACAATAGATTCATATTGTCAACGCAACCAATTTAAAATATGACAGCTAAGGAACCAGTGAAAAATGAAAATGTTTAGTCACAAAGTGTTAATCCCATTTGTAATTGGCTCTGATGTATTCTTATGGAATAGGAAGTAACGGTTGATGAAATTTAAATTTCATAAGAAATTTAAAATAGATAAGATCAAATCAAATTTCAATCAATGCTTAATCAATATTGAACAAGTTCAGAACAATGTTGAGAGCCAAGTATAACCTGTCCACAATACCTCCTTGCTATGAATTCAAAGAAGGGAATGACAAGAGCTACATTGTTAAACTTTTCCAAGTTCAAAAGTTATGTTGGTTACAAGTTTTACAACAAATTGAAGACAAAATATAAGCCTAAAATTCATATGCAAGCACATCAGTATAAACCAGAAATTTTTAAGATAAAAAATGGGCAAATACTAAGCTTATTATTTGTAAAGGAAAATTTGAAGAAACATTATAGAAAATGCATTGTAGGTAATACTTTTCTAAAAGTTTGTTTTAAAACTGAAAAAGAAGAAAAAAGTTACTATATTTGGCAAGACTAATATTCAACGTACTGTATCTCAGGACCCTGTCTGCGTGACAGGTTGTTATTGTTTAACAAAAAGCAACTCTGTCCACCACAAGCCTCCTGATATACAAATTTCAAACAGTCAGAATGTTTATTAGATAAAACATTTTACTGAAGTCAACGATGAATAAAAGGAATGAAGAACAAAAAAATATATATATGCAAGACTGCATTTCCAAGCAGAAGTTGCAGGCAATCAAGCATCAGAACATAAAGCAGTCTAAAGGAGGGCAAGTAGCTATATAGAAGTAAACAACCTCAAACACATTATAAATGATAAAATTATTATATCTACAACAGTCATTTCAACCATGAATGATGAAACTCTAGTTTATAATTTCATATTTTTCTATCTTTTCTCAACAAGCAAAGATATCATACCGCCATATAGAGATGGATCATAAACTGAACAATGCATACACTGAGACACATACAAACTTTTTGAAGACTATGTTTAGCCCCCTTTAACAAAACATCTAAAGTTAAACGTTCTACTTCTTGTTTTCGTTTGCTGCCTTTTCTCAGCAACCAAACAGAGTATCACAAGGAAAGGCCAGAGAAATGGGAAATGTGATAAAGGAACAACCAACCAGTCTAGAATATTTGAAAAGAAACTGGATAAGCAAACAGAAAATATAGATAAAACGTCATAATTGAAGAAAATCCAGTCGGAAAGAAGCAGTAATTAAGCAGAAAATGAAGTACAGACCAAATTTGATCAAAAATTAAAACACAAAATATATGACTTACCTTGGTGACAATCTTGAACATAAAGCTGGTAATGTAAATTATAGAAATGCCCAATTGAAATGAAGCAGTTATAAAACAGAACAGAAAGTCAAACCCAGAATCCAATGTTAAACGATTGAAAAATAAATAAATAAAAGAGAAAAAGGATGGTACTTTGCTGACAATCTTGAAGTCGAAACTGTCTACATGGGTAGGAAGCAATCTTTTGAGAACAGCTTTAGCTGCAGCTTCTTGAACTGAAGCAGACGACCGTTTGGAGTCGAGACGACTCAGCAAAGCCTCAACTGCTTCTGGTTCTGATAGAACTACTATTGGTACAAGTACAAGAATCACAATCAGCAACTGGGTTTTGAAATTGGGCATGGTTTGGTTGCTCTGGTTGTGCTTCAGAGGATAGAGTGGGTGATAAACGGCTCAATTTTGTAAAATTTCATTTTGGTTGCCAAAACCAGAGTAATTTATTGATGTCCATGAATGTACTGCCTAAACTCTACATTCACTCTTCAGAATCAACTCTACTGATTACATAAGATTTCTTTTAGTCAATATTTTATGCTTCAGCTAACACGGATCATCGTTTATTACAAAGCTCCTTTTGTTTTTTCTTTGTTTCCACATGGAGGTTTCATGCTGACAGTACTACATAACTTTTTTCAGTGTGTAATTTCTCTCTTCTTTTTTCTTTTTTTTTCCGTCCATTTTTTAAAAGAAATTTTTAGTGTGGTGGTTATGTAGTTATGTAGTTTTATTAGGGTTGATAGATATGTTATGTATGATGACAATAATAAATATACGTATTATAACATGAGTGAAATGGTAACATAACGTGATAATGTGACTATGACACTGAAAGACTTCTCTTTTTTTTCTTTTTTTTTCTTCACGGTTTCTCATTAAAAGCTTCGATTCTTTTTTTACTTAAAGTGACATTAGAGATTTTGAAGAGCATTCTTTTGGAATTTTAAATCTATTTAATAATTATATTCACACCCTTCTATTGGGCAATTGGAGTTGAAAGCTTGTTAGTGTTGACCTCAAAATCTAACCGCTCCACACGGTTACTGCCATGCCCTCTCGTGGGTCCAAGAGGAAAATTTTCACGTATAAACAGTTAGGATTGTTGATCTTGAAAATTTGGGTTTCTTATTAGTGAAAATTGTCTTCATCTACTTCTGAAGTGTTCAATTCCAAAGATGAGAAATAAGAGATAAGAGTTAAGAGACACACAAGAGTAAAGGCGAATGAGAAAGAAGAACAAAAGTTGTGGAACAATTTCAAGATAGCCATTAGTTAACTGAGAAAAATTAAGTATTAGACATAATTATCCTTACTAATTAGTATTTAAGACAAATAGTATTTTTGTTTTGGTTTTAATACTTAGGAATTGAATTTTGTTTTGGATTTGACCAAAGTGGAGGCCCAAATTCATTGGTCCACTTTACATTAATCACTGAAAGGACAATTATATCGTTTTTGTTTAAAAGCCTGACCCAAATTCGTTGTTCTCTCTCTCTCTCTCTCTCTCTCTCTCTCTCTCTCTCCACAGAAAATGATATGTGATCATCGATCCAAGATTGAGAGACCGATCTACGATGGAATTCTCAAGCTGCTAGACTAGGGGCTCATCTCTTCGGCATTCACCGGCAACTCCAAGGTCTTCTAGCTCAAGATGAAGGGCATTACGATTGCTATCTTGCTAAGTTCAAGATCGATTGACTTGCAGCTCATCCCTTCGGATAACAAAGATTGAAACATCTAAGGTTCCAATCTCCAGTTTTCGTGTAATGGTTTTTTGTTAATTGCTCAGTTCTTGTGATATTATTTTCATATTAGACTTCACATCAATATTTTGTCAAGCCCTGATAATCTTCTGACTTGTGTTTTTCTCTCTCTTTGTGAAGCTTATGAAATTTGTTATTTTAAGAAATATTGAACTGATATGGGTGCACATTTAACTACTGATGTTACTTCTGTATAATTTTTTATTTCTACATAATTTTAGTCCTATTTATAGCTGGTGTTTTCTATCCCTTCAACATGTTCACCTCACACCTTTTAATGAGATTATCCTTTTCTTTGGCTAGTAATGGCTATTCATTGCTCTGATAAGTAGGACTCTTAAAGTGTATCTTTGGGTACAGTTATATATGAACTATCACTTCCTCTTCCAATTTGCTGTCATTTCTTTTAAGTGAAAGTGGCTTCTCAATTGTCATTTGTTTCTATGAATTGCTTATTAATTTTGTATGTAACCTTCAGGTCAGATTTTGCACGTTTGAATTTTCAAGGTTTTTACGCTGCAGTCTTGGCTCTTGGAGAAAGATGATGTGTTGAGGTTAAGGTTCAAGTCCCTTTTTTTTAACCGTTGATTGTTTATATAAATATTGTATAACTGAATAAATATTATAAAATCAAGTTTGATGTAGTGGTTTGTTGGTAAGCCTTCCTCCTTTGAGGTCAAGGTTTGAGTCCTTTCAATGACATAAAATCTTTTTTTTTTTTTTTTTAAGGTGAATAAATGGCAACGGAGTTGGTCCCTTGCAGAAGGTGGCAGGCTGGGGATGGGCGGTGGCGGCCAACGATGGTGGTGGGTGGTGGTTGGCTAGAAATGGACATGTGGCATAGTATGCTTGTCTTAGAAGGAGTGACATTGTGTGTAATTTTGATATTTTTGTAAAATTAAGTACTACATTTTGGTCTTTGGCCTTATGCTAATTAGATGAAATTGTATTCATATCTTCCAAATTAGTAAACTATATTGTGTTTTAAAACTAAAGCTCCCTACTAACTAAAACATATTATTCGACAATGAAGCAAAGCCGAATCAAGCATGTTCCTTTCATGAAAATAAAAATTCATTCATATTTAGTACAAGTACTTTTGTGTTGAAGAAGTGTAAAATTCCTATTTATTCATGGTGTGCGCAGTTGTCGTAGCAGGTTGGTATGTAGTCATTTACTTGAGCTGAAATATTTGTCAAATAAGAATGGCCAAGCTTCTTTATAAACAAAACAAAGAAATTTATATTCATCATATGCGTACGAGGAGCGATTTTTCTCAATTTGAAAGGATTGGTAGCCTTGCAAGAAAAATGGTGGAGAAAGGGTTACATAGAACATTTAATTATGTTTATTTGCTTCTCACATTAGCCTTAACTTTACCAATTACAACAGCTTCTGTGGATAATTGTAATGTGGTTTTTTTTTCTATTAATTATGAATTGTAATATTATTGTCTTATTTTTTTGGGTCTATTTTGTATAGAATTTTTTTAACCTTTTAGACGTTAACCCTTGAAAGGAAAATTCTTGAATCTATCACTGATTATAGTTAATTACAAACACTTAACTCACGTTTGCTCGAAATGATGTGGTTTACTAAGAGTAATTTGGGTTGTTTGTTTTAGTTTTCCCCTTGAGTTCATAAAAAGAATAAAACAAAAGAACTCTTCAGTTATGAAGAGGGGTTACAAATTTCCTATACTTATTCCTTTTCTTTTGCCTTCACAACCATGGACCAGTTCCTCCATTTGCGTTGAAAAGACTCAATAATTTGAGTCAAGAGGCGCGCTATAACTTGCCTTCTACGAATACGAAGCAAGAAAAAGACCCGTCCTCGTCAACCAAAGAAAAAGGAAGTTTCCAGACAGGCTCCATCGCCACGTGGCCTCTCTTTATGGATTAAGAATCTTTGTAATATTGGTAACAAAAACAAAAACAAAAATCCATGAATTAAAAGCTTATTTATTTATTTAATATACTTTCCAAGAAAGGCAACTCAATTAACACTGTGTGGGTTCTAAAAAAACCCCTCATTTATTTCTTAATTCTTGTTACTCTTCTTTTTTCTAATCACGTCTTAATTTCGACAGAAAAAGGTCACGTCTTAATTCTTTGGTCTTCCTCTCCATTTATACCTCTCTCTCTAAATTCTCAGAGAAACCTCTCTCTCTCTCTCCCCCTAAATTCTCAGAAAATTCTCAGAGAAACCTCTGTGAAACCCTAACATGGCACTGCCCTCGGCTCCAGACGCTGACCATAACTCGGCTAATCTGGATCATGGCGATTTCAAATTCAATGCGGAGTTGGACGGCCTGGCGATCCCTCCTCTCGACCCACAGTTTTTCTCATCGGACGACGGCATGGCCACCGTGCCGTCCGATACGTTCATGTCCGATCTCGGATTTGGGTTCGGTTCCGATGACAATTGCGACTTCGAGCTCACCTTCGACGACTTGGACAACCTCTACCTCCCATCGGAAGCCGATGACTTCCTCATCCCCGACGGCTTAGATCCCGGCGGTACTGCGTTGAATTCGGGGTCTCCTGAATCGGGTAGCTCCGCAATATCAATTTCCGGCGATGATAAGGGGGGTTCCGATGTCTCCGGGTTCCTGAATTGTCCCTCATCAAACGAGTCTTCTGAAAATTCCAATGGGCCTGAGAATTCCGGTGGGGCTGTGTCGTCTCAGGGCTCTGGGATTTCGGAGGCAGTTAACTCCACTTGGCATTCTGGAAATTCGGGTAATTCTGTTTCGTCCAATGCCATTTCTGATGCGGATGATGAGAAGGTTAAGATGGAGGACGAAATTGTGAAAAATTGCCTTGTGAAAAGGAAGAAAGTGAGTGACGAAGGCAACGTGGAGTCGAGAAGTGCCAAATATCGGAGGTCAGACAACAACAACGCTTCTGTGGATGCGAATGCGAATGGGAATGATGAGGAAGAGAAGAGGAAGGCCAGGTTGATGAGGAACAGAGAGAGTGCTCAGCTTTCTAGGCAGAGGAAGAAGCATTATGTCGAGGAGCTTGAGGATAAGGTGAGGGCAATGCATTCCACTATTGCTGATTTGAATACTAGGATTTCATATGTTATGGCCGAAAATGCCACCTTGAAGCAGCAATTGTGCAGTGGTAGCGGCGCCATGTGCCCACCACCACCACATGCAGGGATGCACCCTCATCCGCCCATGCCACCAATGGCTTATCCATGGATGCCCTATTCGCCCTATGTTGTGAAGCCACAAGGGTCCCAGGGCCTTTTGGTACCCATTCCTCGATTAAAATCCCAGCAGCCAGTGGCTGCGCCCAAGTCCAAAAAGTCAGAAACTAAGAAGACTGAGGGTAAAACTAAGAAGGTTGCTAGCATTAGTTTTCTGGGTCTGTTGTTTTTTATCTTGCTTTTTGGTGGACTTGTTCCTATGGTGAATGTTTATTTTGGTGGTGTAACGGACAGAGGTCCTGGTGGGTCTGCCTATGTTAGTGATAGGTTCTATGATAAAAACAGAGTGAGGGTTCTAACAGTTCATAGTAATTTGAATGGATCTGAAGAAAATATAGGTTCAGGAATATCTGGGGGGAAATTTGATATCTCTAACAAAATTCATCATGAGAGGGGTCATATGCGGAAAGAAAAGGAATGTGGGCAGAAAGAACAAGGGTCACAACCAATACCGGTTTGTGATGAATTTGTTCGTCTGGGAAATACTAGTGGCGAGCCACTTGTTGCTTCTTTGTATGTTCCAAGAAATGATAGGCTTGTCAAGATTGATGGAAACTTGATTATTCATTCGGTCCTGGCCAGTGAGAAAGCCATGGCATCCCATGGGCATTCTGAAAAGAAAAATA